TGATTTCTGTTTTTTGTTTTCTTTGAGAGAATACTTGTTGATTTCTGATGTCCAAGGGGTGGCCATGGAAAAATCCCCAATTTCCCGCTGTCTGCAGGGGAGTATGGCCTTGTGGCCTGGGTGGGGCAGTCACCTCCCTTCCATGTGCAGGACGAGGCGTGGGGGGCAGAAAAATCTGGGGGTGGTGGGTGGGCAATGGGGTTACTGCCTGCCAAATCTTCACACATTATATAGATTATATTATATCTTACATAATTATATATATATATATATATATATAAATTCCATGGTCCTGCTCTGTAAACAAACGATCCTTTGGAGATAAACAAAAATAAGTCACAAGGATATGTCATATAGCATGGGGAATATAGCCAATATTTTATAACTCTGAGTGGAGTATAATCTATAACAAAAATTGAATCACTGTATATAATATATACAGTGTATATAATATGTATGTTTTAATTAAATCAGCTATGTTTAATTAATATATATGTCTATAATATATAAATAGGCATATATTATACATACCTTGATTGCTATGGAAATAGTTACAGGCTTAAGTGTTTGTTAGGGTTTCCCTGGTGACTCAGACAGTCAAGATTCTGTCTGCGATGGGAAAGACCCAGGTTCAATCCCTGGGTCGGGAAGATCCCCTGGAGAAGGGAAGGGCAACCCACTCCAGTATTCTTGCCTGGAGAATCCCATGGACAGAGGAGCCTGGCGGTCTACATGCATGCATGCTAAGTCACTTCAGTTGTGTCCGGCTGTTTGCAACCCTGTGGATTGTAGCCTGTTCATAGTAACATATGCAAATGAATGAATAAATAAATCACTACATGGGAAAGAGAGAAAACTTTAGAGCAGAATGCCAAGTTATCAATGGAGACGGAGGAGTGGAAAGAGATCGTCATTATTTAGCTCCCCTCATGGTGGACGTGTCAGGGGAGACTCACCCACGGACACTAACAGGGGCAATTGTGTGTCTGCCAATACTGGACGAGGACTCAGTGTCTGTCCCGAATTGCAAGGGAGAACTGGGGACTTCGCCGTGAGAAGCCAGGCTGATGCCTGCTTGACATGACCAGGCGATGAGCATGAACAAGACCATGACCAGGGTGGGGAGGGGGCCACCTGGGCTCCTGACACCATGGAAATAACTACAGCCTCATTTCTGGGGCGTCCGGCCAACAATGCGTGACCTGGGTCGGATCATCTGTCCACACGGACGGCACAGGCTGAGCGCCATCTACAAATCCTGTACCCTTGAAGACGGTCTGGGGCCCAAGGAAGCAAGACTCGGGGGTCGTGCAGATTCTGGGGGATGACAAAACAGGATAACCACAGGCAACATGTGCTTCTGGGTGAAACCCTGGACCAAAAGGAAAGACTGAGGCTGTCTGGCAGGTGATTAAATGTGCATTGGGACTGAGGACTTGGTAAAATGTTACATCAGTAAAAACCTCCAAATTGGCAGATTCAGGGTCATGTAGACGAGTGTGCATGTCTATGGAAGGCGCACACTGGTGTATTTACGGTAATGACGCTTTACCTTGGAGCTTCCCAGGTGGTGCTTCAGTGGCAGAGAACCCGCCTGTCAGTGCAGAAGGGGGAGGAGATGCGGGTTCCCTCCCTGGGTCGGCTGTGGTGGTTTAGTCGCTAAGTCCTGTCCGACTCTTTCGACCCCGTGGACTGTAGCCAACCAGGCTCCTCAGTCCGTGGGATTCTCCAGGCAAGAATACTGGAGTGGGTTGCCCTTCCCTTCTCCAGGGGATCTTCCTGACCCAGGAATCAAACCGAGGTCTCCTGCATTGCAGGCAGATTCTTTACCGACTGAGCTATGAGGGAAGCCTAGGGTTGGGAAGATCCCCTAGGAAATGGCAACCCTCTTCAGTACCCTTGCCTGGAGAATTCCCGTGGACTGAAGAGCCTGCTGGGCTACACTCCATGGGGTCGAAAAGATCTGGACACAACTGAGCAACTGAGCACATACATGCTTTATATCAGAAAAACATCTATGTGTGTACATGTCTGTGTGTGTGTGTAGACCTATGTAACAGACACTCTCCCACCGCATCCCTCCCCGACCACGTCATTCTCTTCCGACAGCTCCCTCTCTATCTCACTTGGGTAAAATATTACTCAACTGGGAATGTAGGTCAAGATGATGTGGGAAAAAGGAAAGTCTTACAAGTTTTCCTGTAGAACAAAATTACTATAAGATCACTTCGAATGAGGAGATTTAATAAGAGAGTAAGGCGTTTGAAAATGTTCCTGGGGGGGGCGGCGGCTAATACATTTTTGTAAACTTCTGTGCAGGTTACGTGGGGTGCCGTTGGCTCCTGATTACCTTGAAGCCCACATGGGCAGAGCTGGGGACGACTATGACCTCATCAGGGCTCATTTCCTCTGAGATGTTAGTGCAGCCTGAGCGCTGCGGCTGGGATATCGTGGAAGCCAATTTTTAACTTTATGCAGGCGCTTGCCTCAGACCCTGAAGCTAAGACGAGAGCCCCCAGAGAAACATCATTTCTCCCCAAGCGCCCCACCTGCCGGCCTGCCTCCACTGACCTGCCACCTCTACCTGTAGCTCCTCCAGCGCTGCCTAGCTTTGTAATCCTGTTTTCCTCCATCCTAAGGGAGATTAGTCCTTGTTTGGTTGGCATGTGGGATCTTGGGTCCCCGGCCAGGGGTCGACACTGCTGCCCCCTGAAGCGGAAGCTCTGTCTGAACCCCTGGGCCACGAGGAGAGTGCTGCCGCCACTCTTTTGAATAAGCTAAATCCGCTTCTCCCTCCTGTCACTCAACTCCCAGCAGCATCTGACCTCAGCCTTCCTCTTGAAATATAACACCCCCGGCTGCTGGGATGCCACTCCTCAGGGGGGCCCTCCTGATACCAAGTGGGTCCTGCCTTCCTGGTCCTCTTAACACGGTTCCTTTGAATTGATGGTGTGTCCATGTCTCAGATGGCAGTGCTGCCAGGGATGGTTGCATGGTGTGTGCACTGCACAAGAGAGTGCCTGGCCTTTCTTATTCACACAGAAGCCTCTGTAGACTAGCCTGACCCTACCCTAGGATCCTCTGTCTCCCCACTTCACTCTGTTTCCTCTTCCCTCTGGCCCTGTGGACTAAGATGCGGAGGAACCGCCCAACAATGTGCCTTGGGGTGCACCTACAGGCATTCGGCACCTCCTCTCCCAGGAAGTGCACCCCAGCCATTGTGTTAACACACGAGACCAGTCTGTATATCAGGTTCTCAGATCCCAAGGCACAGCTGGACCCTCTGTACGCTCACCACTCACAAGTGTCTCCTGCCCCGCCTCCTTCCTGAGAGCCAGCGTCTGTAGTCAGCAACCTGCGAGCCACCCGCCGCGCCTGCCCAGCAGGCAGCTCAGTGGCACACAGACGCCTCGTAGACGTCTCGCCAAGGCCTTACTCTTCAGGGCTCATCACTCCCAAACACCCAAACATTGCTCCAATCCTTTCCTCTCCCGTGTCATGCCAGCGTCTAGAGACACGGATTGGCTGGTGCGGTGGACTGACCCACACATACACGTGTTTCTGTGTTACTGTGTCTCGTTGCCCCGCGCTGCAGGGGCCACGACTCCAGCTGTGGTGTGTGGCCTCAGCAGTCGTAGCACGTGGGCCCGGGCCCTCCGCAGCGTGCAGGGTCTTAGCTCCCCAGCCAGGGATCGAACCCGTGTCCCCTGCCTCGCAAAGCAGATCCTTAACCACTGGACCACCAGGGAAGTCCTTCTTCATTCTTACTGAGATATTGTTGATGCGCAATATTATAGTCGTTTCAGGTGTACAATACAGTGATCCAAAAATTTTTACAGATTATACTCAAAATGTTATAGACTATATCTAAAGTTACTATAAAATATTGGCTATACTCTTGTCTTACAGCCATTATCCTAGAATAAACACATTGCCACACATTTTCATAGGCTACCATGAATACCGTGAATATCTGACAAGGCTATTTCAAGAGAGGAAAACTCATATCTCAGGCTCCCGTATCAACTTAGATTGAAAAGAACTTTTAAAAATGGGGGGGGGCGGGGGTTGGGGAAGTCCGATTGTAACCTGATTGCTCAATTCAAGCAAGCAGTGGGTGACTAACACATGTTTAGATAAATATCACTGCAGACAGTGACTGCAGCCACGAAATTAAATGATGGTTGCTCTCTGAAAGAAAACCTATGCCAAACCTGGACAGTGTACTAAAGAGCAGAGACATCTCTCAGCCAACAAAGGTTCGCATGGTCAAAGCGATGGTTTTTCCAGCAGTCATGGATGGATGTGAGAGCTGGACCATAAAGCAGGCTGAGCCCCTAAGAAATGATGCTTTCACACTGTGGTGTTGGAAAAGACTCTTGAGAGTCTCTTGGACTGCAAGGAGATCGAACCAGTCAATCCTAAAGGAAATCAGTCCTGAATATTCATTGGAAGCACTGGTGCTGAAGCTGAAGCTCCAATATTTTGGTCACCTGATGTGAAGAGCTGACTCGCCAGAAAACACCCTGACGCTGAGAAACATTGAAGGTGGGAGGAGAAGGGGTCACAGAGGATGAGATGGTTGGATGGCATCACTGACTCAATGGACATGAGTTGGAGTAAACTCCGGGAGATAGCGAAGGACAGGGAAGCCTGGAGTGCTGCAGTCCATGGGGTCACAAAGAGTCAGACATAACTTAGCGACTCAACAAGTAAATATCAATTTCTCCAGGTAACTTAGAGGTCTAACTCAGCTTACCATCACAGACGTTTTAGACAAAAAGCACAGAATGAACAAGAGAGCCGTGCCCAAGGATCATGAAGCCCCACGGAGCCAGGAAGGATCCAGGGGCTTCTTCCCAGGATATGAGTAAAAGACAAGCGATATGAGTAAAAGACAAGTCCCTGAAGGGGGCTGTGATGGGGAAAATCCACACTCTGGGGCGGGGGAGGAGTCAGCTTCCTTCCTGATTCCCTCCCCGTCTCCCCTGGGCTCTCAGGCACGCGGACTCCACTGAGCCCCAGGGAGACGCTGAACATGTGTTTCTGGGGATCTGAGCCCCAAGGGCAGCAGGAGCCGGCATCCTCCCAGAAGCATCTCCAGGGCCTGGTGACCCGGCCACAGTGAGGACCCCACGGGGACCTGCTGATGGACGGGCAGAGGAGGAAGCAGACCCCGAGGCGAGGCTCGCAGAGGGAAGGAGCCTGGCCGTCCTCATCTGGAAGGGGCGTCTCAGGAAGTCACGGGGCTGGCTTCCTGCTCTGTCATGGAGACGAATGCCAGGCTTCCTGTGAGGGACAGTTCTCCTTTCTGTGGGGACGCTGCTGTGACGCCCTTGACAAGAAAAATCCACCTCAGACTGCCAACACCCTGTGTGTCTGTCTGTCTGGAGGGCACCCACGTCTCCTCCATCGTCACGGCCTGGACCGCAGGGAGGAGACGCCATGACCCCCACCCTCCCCGCCCTGCTCTGCCTCGGTGAGATGAGGAGGGGCAGGGGGAGCCCTGGACTGGAGGGACCCCCCCCAGCCAGCCTGCTCCATCAGGGGACCCCAGGGCCCAGGAGGCTCCCGGGGACGAGAGGCGCTGCTCAGAGCTGAGGGCAGACCTCTCACAGGGCTCTCTCTTCCAGGGCTGAGTGTGGGCCTGAGGACCCAGGTGCAGGCTGGTGAGTCTGTCCCCAGGGCCCAGCTCCCTCCTCTCATGGGGACAAGGTCACCCCCAGGCCACGAGGAGGGGGAAGGCAGCTCAGGGCTCACGGAGGGGGAGTCTGGGAGGTCTGGGCTAAGAGCCAGGGCCTGGGGGGGGGACGCCTGGTGAGCCCACCTCTCATTTCCTTCCAGGGACTCCCTCCAAACCCACCATCTGGGCTGAGCCGGGCTCTGTGGTCCCCCGGAGGAGCCCCGTGACCATCTGGTGTCAGGGGTCCCCGAATGCCAAAAGCTTCAGTCTGAACAAAGAGGGCACCTCAGCCCCCTGGAACGCACAGCCCCGACTGGAGCCCTGGGACAAGGCCAACTTCTCCATCCTGAACATCGAAGAGCAGCGGGCAGGGAGATACCACTGCTCTTACTTCATCGGATTTAACTGGTCAGAGCCCAGCGACCCCCTGGAGCTCCTGGTGGCAGGAAAGGGGCCAGCGGGTCAGTCGGGGACCAGAATCTGCACAGGCCCCACCAGGGAGCCCCAGGGGTGATGCTTGGACCAGGGGGAGGGGTCCCAGGGAGGGGACAGCGAGACAGGGTGGGGGACGGGAGACTTGGAGAAACAGACGGTGCTGAGGGTCCAGAGAGGCCTGAGGAGTCCTGCTCAGAACCAGGGCCGGGCCCGCACCCCCTTCCTCTCTGCAGGACTGCTCAGAGACAGACCCTCCCTCTCGGCGAGGCCGGGCCCCTCGGTGGCCCCGGGAGAGAACGTGACCCTGCTGTGTCAGTCGGGAAACAGGACAGACGCCTTCCTTCTGTCCCAGGAGGGGGCAGCCCATCGCCCCCTGCGCCTGCGCGCCCAGGACCAAGGCGGGCGGTTCCAGGCTGAGTTCTCCTTGAGTCCTGTGAGCTCGGCCCACGGGGGCACCTACAGGTGCTATCGCGCACTCAGCACAGAGCCCTACCTGCTGTCACAGCCCAGCGAGCCCCTGGCGCTCCTGGTCTCAGGTGAGGCCCCGTCTGTCCGTCTGACTCAGCAGCTCGGGGCTCTGTGCCCTGGGAGGCCCTGGAGGTCGTGGAGGAGGGGGCGCTGAGGGAGGGGCCCCCCGAGGGAGGGGCCTCGGAGCCCGCACCCCGCCCCTTCCTCACACACTGGGGTCCCGGAGGGGCAGGGAGTCAGTGGGAGGGTCTCAGGGAGGCCACAGGCCCGTGCAGGGCAGAGGGGAGTGAGGTGGGGACCCCAGGTCAGCCTGGCGCACCCCTTCCTGGGCTCAACCTCCTGCAGACCCATTTTCCCAGCCACAGACCCAGATCTGAACCTGGAGAGTCTCAGGGCTCTGTGCTCAGGGGAGACAGCCCACCCCAGGGCGCTTTGAGATTCTCTGGGGAGACAAGGTCCCTCAAATCGTTAACGGCCAGTGGGGAGTGGGGCAGAGATGGCGTGGGAGCCGCAGGCTGGAGGGGCCTGAGGCTGCGGGGTAGGGGGGGTCAGTCTGGGGAGGAGCAGGCCCGCCCCCACCCCATCCTGCCCCGGAGCCTCCAGGGATCGCCCCCTCCCCTGGGTAGAGTCAAGCCTGCAGACGAAGAGGGCTGAGCGAGCGTCTGTGGGGAGTGGTGGTGGGTCCCTGGGACCCCGCAGACCCACCCTGTGCTGTCTGAGCTCCGTCAGCTCAGGGTCCTGAGCAGGAACGTCTGAGACAGTAAGATAGAGAGGCCCCGGGAGGCTCCCCGAGGAGGACACGGCCCACCCACAGCCTCCCTTCAGGACCCTCGGGCCCCCGACACCCTCCCCCATCACCGCGGTCAGACCCAGAGTGAGGACGAGCACAGCGTCCCCGTCAGGGGCTGGGCTCGGGGCCACGTCCTCTCCCGGGAGGAGGGTGCCCTGAGCGCACACCCCAGTTCCGGGTGACGGGCCGGCGCTGACCTGTGCGCCCTCACCCCAGACTACACGGTGCAGAATCTCATCCGGATCCCTGCAGGCCCGCATGCTCTGTCCGATCTCCTGGACGACGTGAGCCTCATTGTTCAGGCCTGCGGTCTCTGGTGTGCGCAATGACTTCCATCCCTTCTCAGAAACAGAACGTCGTTTAAGTAACTGAATAAATGGGTGGAAGTGGGGCCCCATCTGGAACAGATGGATCCAGAACTCTTCCCTGAACCCCCTGGACCCCTGACGCCCTGCCCTCCTCGTCAGATGACACCCGTGTAGTTTCTCCAGAAACACTGTCAGTGCGATGCGATCCCTGGTGCTAGAAGGGACAATCAGGGCTATGCTGGTAAATGAGCTCAGGAATATATCGTTTTGTAAAGAGCACCGATATGGGGTTTCCCTGGTGGTGAAGAATCTGGCAGTCAATGCAGGAGACGCACGTTCAATCCGTGATCCTGGGGGATACCACGTGCCAAGGAGCAACCGGGTCTGTGGGCCGCAGTGACTGAGGCCAGCACATCCTGGAGCCCACACACCGCCAGAGAGGCCAGTGCTTCAGATGCCCAGACGCCTCAGCGAGGGAGCAGCCCTGTTCATCACAACCAGACACACCCCTGTGCACACAGACCCAGCACAGACACAATCATCAGGCAATAAATTCTTAAAGAGCCCAGGCGTGTGAACTGTGTGTCTGCTTTGGTGCAAACGCTCTCCGTGGCCAACCTCCAGGAGCCCGGGTGAATGTGCTGAAGGTCGGGTGGGAAGGAAGGAGCAGGCTGGCTTTCCCAGAGGAGCGAGTCTGGTCCAGCCAGCCCCCACTGATGGCCCCACGCGCACAGATGTGTCCTTTGCAGTATGCGTCACATAGGATGGTCTCCACCTCAGTTTCATGCCCCAGGTTCCCTGAGATGAGATGCCCACCTCCTAGTTCATCTGTGAGAGAGGGGAGGAGAAAACGATGGAGGCGACAACGCTGACTCTGACGAATCCCGCACATCACGGGCAGGTGTACTCATCACCCCCTCAACCTGGAGAGTCAGCAGCAATTCTCAGTGAAAAGCAGAGACACAGCGCTGGTCCACACTTGCATAACCTAGAGGAAGATGCGTGCAGAGCCACGAGCATGCAAGCAGAATGTGGACACGTGGGTTGTTCCCAGTAGAAAAGGTTACAGAAATCACTTTCACCAAAATGAATGGTTTGGTGTATATATATGCAACAGAATTTTATACAAAAAATTCACAAAGGTGGACTGCTAGAGTAACACAGATCAGTTTTCAAGCATAATGGTGAATAAGTGAAATAAAACTGTAGGAGTCCAGCCCATCACATCAAATTCAAAAGGCAACAACATGGGACTCAAATAAATAAAATAAGAAATGAAACAGGAGGAACAACAGCTGCTACCAGGTTCCCCTGGTGGCTTGGTGGGTAAGAATCCAGCCGCCAATGCAGGGGACGTGGGTTCCACCCCTGCTGCGAGAAGATCCCACACGGGCCGCAAATGCTGAGCCCACGGGCCCAGAGCCCTGCCCTGCGACAAGACACACCATCAAAACGAGGAGCCCAAGCACCGCAGCGAAGAGAAAAGCTGTGCTGAGCTCAGCACGACATGGGAAAAGCCCCTGGGCCGCAGGAAGACCCAGCACTGTCCTCTTTCGCTCAGGCATGTCCGGCTCTCTGCGGCCCCATGGACTGTAGCCCGCCAGGCTCCTCTGTCCGTGAGATTCTCCAGGCGAGAATACTGCAGTGGGTTGCCCTGCCCTCCTCCAGGGGATCTTCCCCACCCAGTGATTGAACCCAGGTTTCTCTCATTGCAGGCAGATTCTTGACCATCTGAGCCACCAGGGAAGTCCTGCACAGCCAAATCTAATTAATAATTGATTTTTTAAAAATTGATACCTCAGAAATACAAAAGTTTATAAGAGAGTACTAAGAACCACTGTGTGTTGACCAATCTGACAGCAAACTTAGAAGGGATGCAGGCGTCTCTAGAGACACAAGCCTGGCAGAACTGAGTCAAGAAGATGTAGACAGCCTGAACAGAGCGGCCACGGGAAGTGACACAGAATCTGTAACGTACCAATAAAAACTCCATGCAAAGCAAAGGCCAGAGCCGGGTGGCTGCATGGAGGAGTTCCACCAAACTGACAAAGAGGAGCTTATACTGGCCCTCTTCAAACTCTTCCAGGACACTGAAGGGGAGGAAACACTCCAAAGTCATTCTATGAAGCCACCGTCACCCCGATACCTAAACCAGACAAAGACACAACCAAAAAAGAAAAGTTACAGAGCAAAGCTGTTTATGAAAATACATGCAAAATGCACAACAAAATATTAGCTAACCGAATTCAACAACACACAAAAAGAATCACACACCAACTTGGATTCATACCAGGGTCACAAGGATAATTCAACATATGCAAATCAATCAATGTGAATCACCACGTCAACAAGAGAAAGGACAAAACAACATGGTCATCTTAATAGTTCAGGGAAAGCATTGATAAAATTCAACATCCATTCATCATAAAAACTCACCAAAGTGAGTACAGAGGGAAGACATCTCAACATAATAAAAGCTATTTATCACAAGCACACAGTCAACACAGTACTCAAAGAAAAAAAGCTGAAAGCCTTTCTAAAACTCTGGGACAAGACAAGGACGCCCACTCTCAGCATTTGTGTTCAACATACTACGGGAAGTCCAGTCATAGCAATCAGACTAGAAGAAACAAGGATGCAACTGGGCGGCAGGAAAGAGGCAAAACCGCCCCGTATGCAGAGGACATGACACTCCATTTACAAAGCCCTAAAGAGTGCAGACACAAGCTGTCAGAACTGAGGGAGGGAGCACGCCGGTCTGCGGAGTGGGGCAGGCAGCGTGGTCTGGGCCTGCAGTCTCTGCGTGTGTGTGTGTAGTCAGTCGTGTCCAACTCTGTGAGACTCCACGGGCAGTAGTGCGTCAGGCTCCTCTGTCCATGGGATTCTTCAGGCAAGATCAGTGAGGTTGGTTGCCACTGCCTTCTCCAGGGGATCTTCCCAACCCAGGGATCGACCTACATCTGCTGCGCTGGCAGGCAGATTCTTTACCCCTGAGCCGCCTGGGAGGCCCGCGTGCAGCCTACCATCACTGCATTTCCCTCAACAGAAACGGCGCCAGACGCCTGCCTACTCTTCTCGTTCCTTCCCTGTGTGACTGCCAGGACGTCCCAGCTGGCACTGCTGGTGAGGAACCCGCCTGCCGGTGCAGGAGACACAGGAGACCTGGGTTCCGTCCCAGGGTGGGGACGGTCCCCTGCAGGAGGGCGTGGCAACCCCCTCCAGCATTCCTGCCTGGAGAGTCCCGTGGACAGAGGAGGCTGACGGGCTGCAGTCCACGGGGTCGCAGAGAGGCGGACACAGCTGAGCGACGCAGCACACAGACGAGTTAACTATCCTTTCTGTTTTCCATTTCTGGCCTCACTACGACACATTTCAGAAATTTTAATCAGCGCTTTACGCAAGATGGCAGGTCGGGAACTCCCAGCCCTCATCTCGCACAGACACACTCATAAACTGGGATTATTTGGGCCAAAAGACTTTTATGCAAACTGCAGAATCCACCTAGTGAGCTGCAACATCTCGGATGAGCAGAAAACCAAGAAGAACCACTTCGAAAGGATAAACAGAGCTGGTTCTGTGTCCCGGTCTCCCCTTCGGCAAGCACAGCTCAGCGCTGAGAGGACGCCCCCTGGGCCCAGGCCCCATCCTCTCCGGGAGGACAGTGGGTGAAGCCACACCACATCCCCAGGCTCCAGGGCACTGCGGACCTCAGGCCTCAGAGACCGCCTCGCTGCTCAGCTCACGAGCGATCCAGGCCGCAGACACACGTGGGGCTGCAACGCAGGAAGAGAAGGGACGGGGCTCTGTGCGGCCAGCTCGGCCTCGGGGGTTAGAGGAGGACGGGGTCCTCAGACTTCTCCCTCAGGGCAGGGGCACAACACGGTGGGGGCACACCATCATCTCCCCAGACGGGAGGGCCAGGGAGCCTCGGGTCCACAGAAGACGTCTCCAAGGCTCCAGCATCTCTAACTGGGCTGGGGCAAAATCCCACCATAAGTCCGAGAGGAGGCGGCTGCTTCTCCCAGCGCACAGACACCAAAGCAGAGCCACAGAAACATCGAGAACTGGGAACCGTGACTCTGCCCAAGGCCGCAGAGACTGCAAGAAATCGGGAGATCTGAGAGCTCCCTTATTATGGAAGACAATTGTCCCAAAGCAGCTCAGTGAACTGATCTTCCACAAGGTGCTCAGAATCAGAACGGGAACGGACAGTGCCTTCAAGAAACGGTGCTGGAAGAGCGAGATGACAGCAGGCAGGAGGGGGAAGCTGGACCCTCAGCTCACTACATGTGAAATCATCTCAAAACGCAACAGAGACTTAAACACAGGGCCTCAAACCATGAAAGAACCAGAAGGAAACACAGGGGGGGCATCGTGACATGGGTGTGGACAAGCCTTCTGTGGATATGGCAGCAAAGACAGAGACAGACCCGGGGGGTCCGGCAAATNTAATAGGCCCCAAGGCCAGAAGATAATGTACAAGACCCTCATAAACAAAGAAGTATGCAGAAAACACCCTGGTTTCGTGAAGGACAAGCTGACATAATGTTAAACTATCTTCCCCTTAGAAATGTACTAACTTAGGGTATAAAAGCTATGGTAAAAAATAAAGCATTGCCAGACTCTGCCAGACTCTGCACCCCACGTCTGGTCACTCTCTCTCTCTCTCTCCCTCCCTCACAGACTTGGCCCTATCAAGGCTAGTCTCACGTGTCTTCTCTCTCTCTCTCTCTCTCTCTCTCTCTCTCTCTCTTTCTCTCTCTCGCCAATGCCGTTCATCCCGAGGGTACCCCCTGGATCCTGCCGAGGCTGGACCCCGGCACCTTATTATGGAAAACAATTGTCCCGAAGCAGCTCAGTGAACTGATCTTCCACAAGGTGCCCAGAACACAGAACGGGAACGGACAGTGCCTTCAAGAAACGGTGCTGGAAGAGCGAGATGACAGCAGGCAGGAGGGGGAAGCTGGACCCTCAGCTCACACTACATGTGAAATCATCTCAAAACACAGCAGAGACTTAAA